CACAGGGATACCGCTAACCGGTATACCACTAGTTCTAAGCTAACTAAGTCTACGGTCCCGCACCTGCCATCCCTGAGTCGTGCCCGCACGAGAACTAATTACAAGACCATCAAACAACCCAGCGCCCTCCCTGGTCCAAGTCCGTAGCCCCTCTGGTATGAAGCCAACCAGCACCAAGCGTAGCCGAAGCCGAGCAAGAGACCGACCCAACCAAGTTCCTCGTCCAACAAAATCAAAACCACTACCACTCGGTCTAAATACCGTCCCGCAACACCTCCACCACAGTAGAAAACCGACAAAAAACCTAAACAAATATAAACTACAGGCGACACAATGGCAGAGAGGAGGTGACCAACATGTCCACATCTCGCATCCACATGCCAGGCCGTCGACCCTATAAACCCACCTTGCCAAGTGCCTCCGAGGAGCGTAATGGTGAGGAGGACTTGTACCCGCTGCCTGTCCCCCAAAACAGACTCACAAACAAAAGAAATACATAGAGGTTGTGACAGGCTTAAAACAGTCAGTGGGGCCTATCTCTCACCCGTGGTGCCATGCCCCTGCCAGCCATGCCCATTGCCAAGCCAAAGAAACCAAACAAACCCCACGAAACCCAGTACGCAAGTCCCAAACAAGTCCAACCAGGTGGTCGCAACCCACTATCTGCCCAGGTGGCCATCAGTCAACTGGTCCATCGAGGAGCTTTGCAGCATACAGCAGCTCTGCCCAACAGCCCAAGCCAAACTGGAAACACTTAAGTAGACATGGCCCAACCTGACGGATGCCCGACCGGTGCTCGCAGGTGCCTCTCCCTCCCCAATCAGCCCCCCCTAAGCCCCACACACCAGGCATCACAGAACCCATCCAGCCCCTCAGCCCCTCAGACAGATCAACTATCCGACAGCTACAGGACAGCATATACCCAGCCCCACCAAGCAGCCACTGGTCGTGGCTGCCCAACAGAGCCCCAACCCCCAATACCGTATAGTCGAGGGGGGCCCACCAGGCACAGCCAGGAGCCACAAAAGAGGCAGCACCAACACCTGAAGGCGCCAGCGCCAGCCACACCGTCTGACCCAGCCAAACCGAAGTCCAACCAAGCCTGGAAAGAGTCGGCCGAGCCAGCAAAAAGCAGCCCCACATGTCCAGCGTAACGTCAGACTAAACAATGGGCAAGAGGCATCCCCAACCGACACGACAAGAAGGGGAAGGGCGAATGAACAGAAGCAGACAAACAGAAGGTAGGCCCCACTTGCAATGGGTGAATCCGCCAACCACAGACCACAACCAAACCACCCAGACGCACAGACAACGCGAGTGCCTGGCAGCCAATCGTCCCACACCACCCCAGGCGGCAACAATAACCACACCAGGGGGTAAGATTTTTCAGGGTCAAAGCCATCCCCACGAATGCGAGGAGGAGACACCTGACTGAACCACCGTAAATGCTACAAGGACAGAAACTCCAGGGGAACAGCGATAAACAACATCGTAGGATTCCGACTGTAGAAACATGTGGTAACGAGGATGGGGAGGAGCCGGCGAGGCCCCCGCCCCAAAGGATTGATGCGGCCGGTACGACGTGTTGATACTCGGGAAGGTCATCAGTCTAATCCAAAGGCATTTTGTATCGCGAGAACTATGGACTCCGTTAAAACCCAACAACAGACATGAGCTGGCCCAAAGAACGACACGGGTGATCCCCCCAAACACAATGTTCAATCCCCCCAATCGAACGCGATACCTGCGAGTAGACGATAGACAGGAAGCCGTAGACATTTTACCGAAAGGGGCTCGTATGCGACCGTGATGAAGAGCTCAAAGTGCCAGTATCGTGAGATAACCAGGCCAACAAAACAAGACGCAAACAAGTTATCCGCCACGCAACACCTAACAAACCTCAACACTAAAGACCCCAGGAACTACTGAGCGAACTCAGATATCTCCCCCAGAATTCGAGGTATCAAGGCCCATCATGATGGCGAAAGAAACGCACGAGGCGAAGCGATGGCAAGGACGAGGAAAAGTTCTTAGAACTAAGCGTAAAGAACCTATCCTCCTCGGCCGCATCAGCCTCCTTATATAGTATTCATCCCGCCCGTAGTCATGTGACCCAAAGTGGTCACATGTGCAAAACCAAATTATAACAAATTACACAAGTCATATGACTCGACTGAGTCATATGTACGAAACCTATCGCCTCATAAGAAGGTTATGTGCAAAACATAAATCATATGCACAAGGCATATCTGCAAGGCGCACTCACAAGGTATACTCGTCAGGCACACGTCCCATGACTCATATTTGAGCCTTGTACGAAAGCATCACAAATCCCACACATAACAAATCATATGACTCATAACCATGTGTCACGTGAAAACCTTTTCCTTGCCAAGCCACATTTGTGACACAAAGTCAAGATACAGGCTGAAGCCAGACCATGTTGTTAAGAGATTGAAGTGGACTATAGTTTATAAGAACAGGACAGTTGAGGATTTTGAGAAAGTGATTTAGAATGATGAGTATAGTGTGGAGAAATCCAGGCATCCAATACAACAGCGGGTATTTAGAGAACCTGTAGAGAAATGGTTGGCAGATTGTATACATCCAAAGAGAACGATAAGGGAATAGTGCTCATGGTTTGGTGGTGCTTTTGAGGTAAGAGACAAGGTCCCTTAGTTCTAATTACTTAAACCATGAACAAAAACAGGTAGAGCAGACTCTTGAGAAGGCATCTTTTTCCGGTGATTTATCAAATTATTTCTTTTGGTATGCAAGATATCCTGTTTCAGCAGGACAATAACAGGACTGTTCACAAGGCTTATAGTGTAATGGATTGGCTGGAGAGAAACTTTATTGACGTTGTGGAACACCCTTCCTATTCCCCTGATTTGAATCATATTGAGCATGTATGGGTTGAGCTTAAAAAGCAATTGTACAAGTAGTATCCAAGGATTGGAGATACCCCAGGAGGAAAGAGGCTGTGAGGAGAAGACTTGTACAAGTATTACCATTGGTTTGGGAGGCAATCCCTGAGAAGTACTTTGAGAAGTTGTGGAAATCAATTACTGATAGGATAGCTGCAGTATTGGAAGCAAGGAGAGGTTATACACGGTATTAGCTATTTCATTATTTAATTTATACTACTAGTACTTTAATATTCTCATAAGTTGATCATCTATACTAGAGTTGATTGTTGATACCAAATGTTGATTGTTTGCCCATTGATAACCCTAAGATTGCCCCACCACATGGCCCGGGATCTACTATCGTGCAACCACAATTTTGCCTTGTCTCAGATCACGAACACTTCTGCTGAGTAGCTGTATTTCATTTCATATGATAAAAAATCTAGTAACTTTCTTAAAATTTTTATATAACAAGTTACTTTCAACGTAGGGTGACTTGGGTACATGGCATGGTACTTCATGGCTCAAGGCAGAGTTACTCTAATCCCAAAGTATAGTATCAGCACCCTGGGTTACCCTACAGAGCAGGGTAACTCTACCCAGACTCACAGTCGAGCAATTCAAGATAACTACCAAGTAGACTACTTCGGTTACCCTACTCAGTTGGGTAGTCACTACTTCTTACTAGTACCTATGTACTTCTTATTATAATATAGCACATTCAACTGAGGTACATAATCAATACTACCTCTGTTTGGTAGCCTCTGGTCTACTGCTATTCCTAGTGCAGTAGTCTCTTGATACTGGTATGGGTATAGGTTTGACTAACTGTAATAATACTCCGTAGAGTCTCATTACAAGAAGACTGAAATTGAGAAATGTATACCCTATAAAAACATACAGATATGGAGTCTAATAAATTTACCATGCAGATGAAACTCTCTAATTCAACTGTTTCTACAATAATAAACAAGGCTGAAAACAATCTTGGTAACATGTATGATGCTCCCTGAACTTATAAACCAACAAAGATAACTGATGTTAAAAAGAATATCATACTTGATCTTATTGATGCTGAGCCTCATTTATTATGATAGAATATTACCTAAAAGGCTAATATTTGTCATGGAAAAAATACTAGCAATAACATTTCTTATAAAGCTAGTTTTAAGCTTAAAATACTAAGAAAAAGACCTTTTTGGAGGAAAGGACAGAAGGTGAAGATAAAGGTATTTGTTAAGCAGAGAAGCAATTAGACAAGAGCTTGAAAGTATGTAGATATTATTGATGAGTCCACTATTGAGTATGATCTAAATTCAGTAGAAAGAAAGGTCAGACTTACAGGGGGTGATAAGCAGGAGGAAAGAAACTTAAAGCCAAATTTTAAGTCAGAAAGGACTAATATTGGGATCTATGGTGCAATGAGGCATGGAAGAAAGACTGAGTTAATTCTTGTCAGGAGAAGGAGTAAGGAAGAAAGTACCAGTAAATTGGACAGGCTTGGTATAAATGCACATCAGTATGCTACTGAAATTCACCAGCAATACCTTATTCCCTTCATAGAAGAGCTAAATAGATTCTCAGGAACTATTTATATGGCGGCTGATAATACATTCTGGTATAATGTGTTGGAAAACAAAAAATTGCAGAAGGTTTGTGGATATTAAAGACTATCTTGGCCTCCCAACTCCCCAGATCTGAATCCTATTGAGAATGCCTGATCTCTTCTCAAAAAGATCCTCAGAAAGTGATTCTCCAAGTTGGAAAGAAGGCCAATATAGTGCAGTTGAATTATTTCAGGCAGCCATGGAGGAGTGGGAGCATATTCCCCAAGAGACAATTAATAGATGGATTAAAAGGATGCCTGAGAGAGTTCAGGCTGTACTGGATACCGATGGAAGCAATACATCATGGTAAAATATTTAAAATTTTCTACTACATCTCTTCCACTATCTATTCTATAATTGAGTTGTTGTGATCTTTTCCAAATTTTCAAGTTTGTTGGGGTGGTGTAGTCGCGCGCGGGGGTACGGAAACTTATTAGACATGAGTGTACCGTAATTTACCTGTCTTGCCCTCCACAACGGTACGCACGGGCCGTCTCTCCATCCACCTAATCTAATTTCGAGCTAACACACTGAGCACCCCAAGGGGGAAGAAAGCTTTGGGTCCCCCCACACACAACAAACATCATCAAAACAAACATTGTATCTACGGATAGAGCCCAAATATGAGACTCCGCCTGTTCATCCAGCGGAATCGCCTCCCATCAACAAAGATATGGTGGGACACGTCCTCCTTTGAACCCGGCGACGACCACAACGTCAGCACACTCCTATCGCGGGTGACTCAGATTGTGCCGATGGAGTCGGGGGGTTGGGGATTGGAGGATTATGCGGTTGAAGTGGATGGCTTTGAGGTCTTGCATTTTCAGGAGGTGGCGAGAGTTATCCGGGAAGGGGATCAGGTTGTGTATGTGCTCCCTATCCGACATTGTTTAAACATTTTTTTGCGATTTGTTACTAATTTGATGCGCAGTATTCGCCCATTGACAACAACAGAGATTCGACAGAGAAGCGCTAGTGGGCGACGACAGATTAGTACTTCTGGGCGGAAACTGCTGGATGGGACACCGTTTGGGAGACCGATGGTTACAACTAGGCCTGCCCCTGACAGGCCTAGGCTTTCGATCCCGCCTATGAAGAGGGCGAAGACTGGCTGCGATGTTGACTATTCTACGCTTGTACAGGTTGGGAGTGACCACGAAGACGAGAGTTATGAGGAATGCGATGAAGAACAAGATGTCTCTGAAATAGGCGACGGCGACGACGGTGAGGCTGTTGGAGCTAATATGGTGGCTGAAGTTGAAGCCTGTGCGGAATTAGATGAAGCAGAAGAATCTGGTGAGGAGGGAGAAGATGATATTGACGGAGCGGATTTTGAGGAACTCTCTCGAGACTATGAGAACCCCCTCATGGATTACTTCGATTGCGATGAAGTTGCATCCTCCCAGGTTACTTTCTTCGAGCATCCATCTCAATTGAAAGCGATTTGCGGGGCTCGAGATACTCAATCTTTGCAAGGACAAAATGGAAGCCTAGGAGAGGATAAATCCGACGATGGCGATAGTTACACCGATAGCGATAGCTCTCAGTATCGGGATAGTGATCTGTCTGACGTGGATGATAGTTCCGACAAATTTGTATGCGGTGATGAAAGCATGGAGGTGGGTATTGTGGGTCGGACGGGCAACCTTTTCCTCCCGGACTATTTTCATTCGGCTGCAAGTGCGGCCGGTGGTGCTGTTGATTCACCAACGTTGCCTCAACTTTATCAATCCGAGGACACGTCAGAAGAAGCGGGGGGAGATGAGAGGGAGCGCGAATTAGAGCATCCTAATCTCAGCAAACCTTCCGTGCCTGCCGGACCGGAATTAGATGAAGATTCTCGTAGTAGCTCAGAGGATTCATATAGTTCTTCCGATTCAGAGGAATCTGGTGAATCTGAGAAAGGAGCAGTACCAAAAGACAAGAGGTGTGTTAAGAGTGCTAGGTAAATACCCCCCCCTAAGAGTATTTGAGTCTCCGCTAAATCTATCCCTCAAAAGCCAAAGCAAGGCCCCGAGTACTTCACAGGTACCTCTGCCCTCCAGGGTGACATCGTTTCCAATTGAGCAATCCAAAAAACTTGCCGTTGCCCCAGGGACTCTACCGCATCAAGGGAATCCCGGAACCAAAGCGAGGAATGAGCGCAAGAGGCAGAGACGTAAGAACAGGCGTTTGCTCGCTGAGCTTGTTAATACTGGCCTTTTACCAAAAGAATCTACCATTGATGATTTGAAGACACATCGGGACAAACATCTTAAAAATGCAGATGAGCAATTGAGGCACAACAATGAGCACCCTCTCGAAGGTAGTGGTGAAAAGCAAACTATTTTTGATCTATCAGAAGAACGAGTTGCCGAGGAGCCCACCCGAGATCTCGCTGGCCATGCTTTACAGAAGGCTCGGCAGGCGCAGCAGTCAGATGACTTACTGTGCAAGGGGGCCAGGGGCAAGAGCTGGCGCAGAAGAGGTAGGAGGGCTTTTCTCAAAGCTAAGAAGAGGGAGAGCATTCCTGCAGATTGGGATTTCAGCCGGTGGTTGACGGAACGTGAAAAAAAAGTAGGGGTGGAAGACCAACCTAATAACATTGACGTTGGGGAGGATGCGGATGGCGATGTGTCTATAGTATCCATTGGCAAGCCTGCAACGCTAAGTTCCAAGACACCCTCCAAACAAATCGGGATTAGTCTCTCACACGATCGGCCTCCTCCTCCACCTCCACATCAGGATCCCCTCATCTCTGCTCAAGAGAGTAGTCGCCCACAAGGTCCACGCAAAATTATCTATGATAAAGATGGGGCCCCTAATCCAGTCTATGCGGGATTTGATGAGCAACGATACGGAGTAGAAGACCCAGAGGCATGGCGGCGCAAGATCGTGTTGAGCGCTGTGGAATGTGAGCAAGAGGGGGTAGAGATCCCAGCTCCTGGGTTCCCATTCAAGCAACCGACTTACCAACCAGGCTTTCGATGGGAGGCTAGTGGGAACAATAAGAGGAAGAGAAGCAGTAGCGTGAAGAAGGGAAAGCGGGGACAGCGAGGTAAGGAGAACTTCAGTTTTGATTATGGCTGTCGAGGCTACCAAGATCTTGGATATGGAGACTGGGATGGCCAAGATTACTATGACGACAGGACTGTGGCTCCCACCCCTGCGGAGGGCAAAGCTACAGACGGGGCCGAGGTTGACCTAGTTGATGATCTCCCACCACTGCCAGAGAATGTTGCGTCATTATATCCACTCACGAAATCAGTTCTTCCTGGCACTATTGTCGCATTTAAACAATTGATGTTGACTGAAGATTACACCCCAATCATAGCGGATTATCGGACTGCTATTGTGCAAGCTGTGCATGTGCAGGAAAAAGATGGACCAGCTTTAGAGCTGCGGTTGGCGGTAAGGGATAGACCAAAGCGCCGGATTGATCCCGAAACTGGCGAGAGAATTCTGCGCAAGTTTGAGATGCTAGGTGATGAGAATGAGGAGGAGGGGTTTCTTAGTTTGATGTTTGGGCAGTTGTTGGAAGCCAAAGTCGTCAAGCTCCCGGTGGGCGCAGGCCCCGGTCAGAGTGTGGATGGTGATGCAGGTGGGGGTATTGGTGAAGGTGGAGGCACGCAAGAGGGCAGTCCAGGTGATCAGAGAAACGATGGCAATGTAAACCACGATATGTCTGAAGCGACCGATAGCTACCCTCATAATATTCAGGTGAACGCTACTCTCTCCGATGGACTTGCGCCACCTCCGGAAGAGGGATCTCAAGACCAAGAGCAGGACCTCGAACTCGAACTAGGGCCAGAGATGCAAGCCGCTCAACCGCAAGAGAGCTTAAAATCTCCCAGTCCAGTTGACGGTATTCTCGGCACCGGGGTGCCGTTGTCTAGTGCACCGACATCACAAGCTGAAGCTTCTGTTCCGCCTGCTGTTGACAACGAGGACAGTGACCCATCCTACGAGCCAGATTCGGTCAGTGACTCAGACGGCCTAGAAACTCTTGAGAGCATGTTCGCCTCCTCGCAGAGGATTAAGCCGGAGCCTTCCAGCCAGAGGTCCCCCGTCTTACCACCACTACCAGTATTCTCGCCTTCGGGTACAGGTGTCGAGGAGGACGACGAGCAGTCCCAGAGACAGATACAAGAGGAAGCAACAAACGAGAAGCGTACGGCCCTCGAAGCAACTAGGAGGACAAAGGCCTCAAATAGTGCTAAGATCACCAATTCCGGGGTGCAAATTATTGACCTGACGGAGACAAGCGACCCAATTGTCATGCATGATGATCCTAGAACGGACGAGGGCGGTCGCAGTAGTGAGGTTAGGGGGAAGCAATGGCGGGCAGTCAAGGGATAAATTTAAGTTCTGGTTCTGATACTTGTTTTTCCCGCGATTTTATTTTACTTTTATTCCTATATCCATTTCAACTCCGCTTAAATACATCCATCTACTTTGCCAGGTCCCGTTTCGGCGTTTGCGCCCAAATTATCGTGCTATACCTTAGTGATCCATCTTTCCTGTACTTGAACTTTTGTTGGGAGTTGGGGGAAGTGATTGGGGGTGCGTGGGAGTAGTGCAGTGTATCATGGCCGGAACAAGGTCTGTAATATTGTACTGTACAAGTATCGTCCAGTCTATTCGCGACCCATTATTATCACCCCTTACCCTCACCGCCAGTACCCGGGGCCTCATTAACGGAGGAGACACTCTGCGACTTCTGATACTCCTTCTCCAACTCCCGTTGCATCTCGAAATCCAATTGCCTCTCACGCTTTATTCGCGTGCGCTCCTCGTCGCGGATGACGCCGGCGTGCATTGCCTACGCTCCCCATTCCTTTTGGTTAGTACTGGCGCAGGTGAATTGGGGGGGCGCAATTGGGGGGACAAACAGCTTTTTCAGCGCGCTGGAAGTAGTGCACGAACCAGATTACTCCGCCACAGAGGAGTGAGGTTGTCGCGAGAGTTGCTTTGGCTGCGCGGGACATCTCTGTTGAATGGCGGCTGAGGATGAGATGATCGAGGAAGGATTAAGCTTACCGATGGACTAGAAGGGATGGACAAGAAACGCAGGTCTTGGCTTTTGTAGCTTCTCCATCCACAAGTTCCACTAAATAGTCTACCGTATATATATCTGTACGAAAACAATTCCCGTATCACAACGATCTTGATTGGCCAAGTGATGAAAATTTCCTAATAACTGTGACCTGATTAACACAGAGCACAAGTCTTTACTACATTATAGGTCGTACTTTCTATCAAGTCAAATACAGTCACACCCCGCCGTCCCGGATCTCAATCACCCGAATACTCGCTTTCCCGTATGAATCTCTGCGACTTCTCTTGTCCGGGATCACCCGCCGTGCCGGAAATATTCTACAGATTTTGGTCATGCGGGGTAGTGGGGTACGATACGACCGCGTACTAGGGCTACTCGGACGGCTCAAATACCTTGTTTTAAGCGATTAAACTACTCGAGTATACCTCTCACTGAGGCACACCCCTCTCGTGCTTCTCTCGGAGTGTCCACTCCGAAGGTACCGATATACCTACTTATCCTGGGCTCCCCATATCTTGCCCTCAATGCATATTTTAAGAGTTGGGGACACGGTTTCTACTCCCTTGAATTCTGGAACTTATCCAAGGTTCATCATATTTGAGGCGGCAGATGATGCACAAAAACTAATTCTGGAGAGAAAAAGGGATATTGACGAGCCCAGAACTTCCAGATTCCTACACGACTAATTCCGTCCATGAGTCTGGGATACAGTCACACCCCGCTATTGGACCCCTCTATTGTGGAAAAACTGCTATTACGAACAAATCTCTAGGGAGTTCGGTTCGTCCACAGAAATTGACCCACAATAATGAATTATTTGAGATAGTGAATTCGAAAAGAGCCTCCAGATTTTTACCCCCCTGTCTCCATACAAGCTTGATCTGCTATAATAATCAAAGAGAAACTAGAGAATTAGATTTGCATATGACTGGTTTAACCCATGATCATATTAGGAATAAATGTTTAGGTCCTGAGAGTCATACAGTGCCTCGTCAGTGTAATTCATGATCGTCTTACTAAGCAACCTCACCAAAAATGCCAGCTCGCCAAATGCCACCTCACAAAATGCCAGCTTGCTGATCATGCGACTGTATGATACCTGCCCCATACAATATGACACACCACGATATGGTGATCCTCTATTCGAATAATTCTTTAATTTTCATTTCCTCCGAATTTCCAATGGTTAACCGATCCAGATATAAATCAAAGCCAAAAAAGTGAAATCCAAAGACCACTCGAACTGAAATGACAAATGTGGAAAAAGGCATGATCATCAGATTGTTCTACTGCCTCCAGAATATTGCTCTAGTTGCTCAAATTATTGGCCGGCCATGGTCAACTATTAAATGCTTTCTCACTCACACATGTGAGCGTTTGTCCTTAGATAATATTCCTCATCCTAGTCGCACACCTGTTCTCAGCTAGCGACAGCGTTGCACAATCATTCAGGCTGCCAAATCCAACCGGAAAATGACCAGATCAGATCTCAGGGATAAATATGTGCCGGGTATTTCTCTTTCTACTAGTTGGTACCCATCTGAGCCTGAGTGATAGAACATGATTCTCTAACAAATTTATAGTGGATATAGTACTCAGAGATGCCAATATTAAGAAATAGCTAGACAAGTCACGACCCAAGCTCAAAGCTGTCCATATAGCTAAGAGACTAAGATGGGCTACTGCTTATAGCAATTGGACAGCTGAGGATTTTGAGAGAGTCATTTGAAGTGATGAGTGCAGTGTGGAGAAATCCAGGGATCCAAGGCAGCAATGAGTTTTCATAGAACCTGGGGAGCAGTGGCTTGCAGACTGTATTTACCCAAAAGAAAAGGATAAGGGTATTTCGCTTATGGTATGGGGGTGCTTTTGGGTAAGAGAAAAGGTCCTTTGGTTTCTATTACCCAAAATATCAACAAGACCGGGTATCTTAGACTCTCAAGAAGACATCTTTTTCCTGTAATTCATTAAATGATTTCCTTTGGTATGGAAATCTTGAAGATATTCTTTTTCAGCAGGAGAATGCTCCTGTTCATAAGGCATATAGTATCATGGATTGGCTTGAGAGAAATTGTATTCAGGTTGAGGAGCACCCCCCATATTCCCCTGATTTGAATCTTATTGAGCATGTATGGGTTGAGCTTAAAAAGCGATTACACCAGCAATATCTAAGAATTGGAGATACCCTAGGAGGAAAAGAAGCTGTTAAGAAGAGGCTTGCACAAGTATTACCTTTGGTTTGGGAGACAATTTCTGAGGAGTTTTTTGAAAAGTTGTGGAAATCAATGCCTGGTAGAGTAGCTGCAGTATTGGAAGTAAGGGGAGGTTATACAAAGTATTAGCTAGCCTTATTTATTATTATTTTACTCTAAAATATACATAGCAGATAATTGATCATAAACTGTTGATCATTGAGAGGTGGTAGTTGAGGGTTGATCCTACACTCGCGTTGTACAAGCGCTGTTGACAATCCCACCCTACAGTCTCATAGTGCAACCGCAATTAAACATGTCTCAGATCACGAACACTTCTGACGAGGCACTGTAGGAATTTGGATAGTAATAATGGTACCTCCAGCTCTGCTACTCATAGCATGTCTACCAACTTCGACCTCCTACTCATCTACTGTTTCCTGTCCTTGATCTCCACAATATGTCCTCCTATCTTTCTCCTTTCCATCTCTTTCTCCTCTGGCCATTTCTATTCTGCCTATTCCATCCTCTCTTTTGTTATCCTTTATCCTCTCTCCTTTTATACTATTTTCATTTTTTGATCAGGATTCTGACATGGTGTTGGGGGGGCGGGTAGGGTGACATTGGGGAAACAGGGATGCTGTGGGTACTGGCTGTGGGTGGAAGGGGTAGACATAGTAGATAATCATTTAAAGTAGCTGTCAATCATGGTTTGCTTCTTTTGTGATTCCTGATAACTTCAAATAGAATTAGTATAAGTAAGAAATTTAATAAATTCAGAATATACCTCTTTATTTATACTGGTGGCCAAATGTGTAGCTTGTACAACCATTGTGACTAGAGAAAGGGTTCATCCAGTAACAGTTGAAAGTAAATGAAAAGGTAATTACTGAAGATATTATGAAATTACTTGCAGATACTGTATCGCTGCACTATGAGTAATTGGAACTTGAATGTCTGATAGGTAGAGGTCATTATCATGGTCTCCTCAGCATCATAGTTGGTAATATCTATATTGTCAATACCGCGGGAAAGTAAACATAGGTTTACTTCCTCTTGAAAATTAATCCTATATCAGATAAAACTGATGTGGAATTTTCAGACCCGTCCATGTCCTAATCCATATGGTATCCCTTAAGTTGAGTATCCAGTACCTTTTCAGAAATGGTAGGATTAAGTGTAATGGATGCTCCTTCTAAGAAGATGGATCCCGAGGTTGTGACAGAACCGAAATGAATTCTTCTACAAAAGTAAACAAATATAATAAATGTCAAAGTCTCAACAGTGGAGTTTGAAGAAACAAAATGGTAAAACTTAATATCATTAAGCCACAACTTTACTCAATTTAGTCCTGATCTCGAGAGGTAGTTAATTGTCAGAGTAGAGGAGAACCCGGATATATACTTAAGTAGATTTTATATACTGCCAGTTCCTCCCCATCAGTACTATGTGTTCGCGAGCACAAAACTCCCTTGGGCTCTCTAGTCAACCTATATGGGTTTGATTAAAGATGTTCTAGAGCAACCTAAACTGCTCTGTAGTTGGCTAACATTTACTGAATAGAAGTGTTTTAGCTGCTGCATCTACAATCCAACCGCAGGAGTAAAAACATTTCATATCGGAGACATGTTAGTGGTGAATAGCCATGCCCGAGTGGATGAGATACCAACTACGGAACTTTCTACTCCTATACACTTAGTCTTCTACAAGCATCCACAGCCCCTAAATATCTATCCAGTTCTACTCTATTTTATATCATTCCACATGATAGCCATGTAGCTCTCCCAATAGCCTCCTTTGAATGTTAGCTACAAGTAGGTGCTACCCACAATCAACCCTCCTAAAAGTATCTCGCATTGTGACCTCAAACTATTGTCTCAGAGTCCTTAATGATTCTCTATTACTATTATACTTTTAGAGCAATAGACTTCAGTTACCTCACCTACTGGCCTCCGGTAAGCTCACATACTACCTCTAGCTTCAAGGTAGTATTACTCTGTCAGCTCTGCTCTGTTTTTCATAAGACCATCTGGAGACCATTCTCCAGGTCCACCTCTACCCCCATATGTATCCTGCGGTCAGCCTCTGGTCGGACGGCCGACATGGGTATATCTGGTGTTACAGGAGCATCCTACTACTTACAGGCTTTTACCAGGCTTACAGTGACTCTCTAGGCTGTAGCCCCTGATGCTAGGGTATTATACTAGGATTGGAGGGGTGTGTTAGCCACAAAACCTCCAAGCTACAGCCTGTTCGGAGCTCAACTAGTTGTGCAAGAGTGATCTGCACAACTAGAGATTCGAACACTATATGTAGTTTCGTACGTTAAACAATCTAGTAGCTTCCCCTGATGTCCTGTGTAACAAGCTACTTTCAAAGTAGGATAACTTGGCTCTATAGCTGGGCAACCCCTAGTAGAAGTCAGGGTAACTTTGGTCCCAATGTAGGGTAACTCTACCTGGACCCACTGTTGAGCAATTCAAGGTACAAGTGCCACCGAAGAAGTGAGTAGACACACTTGGTTCCAACACGACAACAACCCCACAAACGCTACCCCGCATATCTGCACAAAATGCCACAAAACAACAATGGAAAGCAAGGAGAGACCACAAAATTACAGCGCATTGAGGTCATCCAGCTCCAAGCTAAGGGTTACTCATATGGTCAAATTGCTGATTATAGGATGTTCTCAAAGGCAAGTGTGGATAAAATTATCTGAAAATGGAATGTAATGAGG